CACTGCAAAGGACACTAAGGACTACAACCCTGGTGCCTATTAGGCATGTAAACCGTGACTCAAGACTTTGAACCTCGTTTTCTCAATACTGTTTTTTTTTGGCATGTTGCTCAGCTCGTGGAGCAGATATCTTCGCAACTACTTGACAGATTTTGATTGTTTTTTTTGTAATGCTCCTTGAACTGTGCTTCAGGGGGCTGCATTTTTATTTTTAAAATTTAGCCTTTTAAAAATTTTTGGTAGGGTTTCTTGTTTGTAGTGGAAATGTGCTCATTGAAGTATCAGTGGAGAAAACATGAACTACAAATTTTAGTGTTGCAAAAAAATTATTTTGAAAACGCAGCCCCCTAGAGCATACATTCACCTCTGCACACAGTGTTTACCAACTTTCTATGTCATTTTTTAGACTCTCCAGCCGCTCCACGAGGTCCAGTAATGAAATTATTTGTTTCTCAGAAAGTTTTCATGATATCATCTTGAAAGTTTTATGGAAGCATTATGAGGTCATTTTTAGTCTCTGTGCCAATTTTCATCAAGATCTAACCAGAAACAAGAAAGTTCGTTCCGTAAGGCACGTCCCCCCTTAAAACAATGCATATTTTCACGGTCACGCGAATATTGTTCGTTTTAAGTTGGGCTGTTGTATGTGGGCTCGACTGAGCAATGAACTACTGATGTAACGATGACTTATCACGGTACGAGTTCGTTATAAACAGGTTTGACTGTAATACAAATTATCGGCTATAGTGAAGTAAGTGGCCAATACCTTTGCCTTAGTGCTACAAATAGTTTGTGACAGTTTTGGATATAATGAAGTATTTTCATGGTGGATGCGAGTTTTTTTTTTATGAGGTTTGAATGTATTCCTAATACTACGGTGGATGTGTGTTTGCGGGAAAGTCAAACTAGCGCTTACTTTTTTAAACAAAACGAAGGACCAGCTATTCCAGCAAGTATACTTTTTCTCGTTATAACTGCTATTTCTTTACGTCCAGGGTTGAATGTATAACGTGTGGTGTACACGTATCCCGAAGGAGTACGGCCACCAGCGTGGGTCCGGTCTTAGCGAGCCGCAGGGCACGCGTTAACCGTTGCCGTGGCGGGAAACACGATACTGCTCAAGTCGCAACACTTTATTGTGGCAACACCAAACGCAGTACAGCCCGTTGCAAAAAGGCGCGGCGGGAAAGCAAGTAGGCTTATCCACGCCACGGGCACAAAGTACTACACAGGGTGCCACGAGCACGTCTCCGCGGTAAAGGTGATCCACGGAGACACCGGAACAAAGGCCCGGTTGCTCGAGCGAGGGCAAAGGCGCTCGCGTTGGCTTCGAAGGGAGACGGGTCGGCGTAGCGAGGCCACGCACTAGGACACCGTACCACCCTTCGGCCGTGAGTACGCAGTGGGGCAACAAAAGGTGAGCATTCGCCTCGGGCGCGAGGCGCCGTCAGCGAAGTCCGACGAGCCCCCGTGCGACGGGAGACGACGGACGGAAAAGATCGCGTGGCTCACCGTTTGCTGTCCCGGAGAGTACTGACCGCTCCCGACGCAGCGCGCAAAAACCTCTCGGGGGTCCCCGCGCGCAGCGCCACAGTCCACATCCGCTTCCGGGTGAGGGAGTTAAACGTCACTCCGCCCTTCCCAGCGCGGCAGACAGCAAGGAGGGCATACATGTCGGGACATGAGAATGGCAGAAAAGGCGGCAAAGCCCGCGCAAAGGCAGCGGGCTACCCTCAATTCCCACATCCCCCTCTCCTAAATTAGCCCTTTACCGGGCTGCAAAAGGCAGCCGGACGTCACCCATGCAGTTAAAATGACACTGCTATGAGCGACAGCTAACCTCAGTCCAGCCCTGCTACTGCCGCTAAAAAAATGATTACAAAGGAGAAACAAAACATAAATAACAAAATAAACACACAACACTATACAAATAACTGCGGAAGGGAGTACAGCAACGTGGCACTAGTGTTCGTGGTGCTGAAGGGGGATAGCGTCCAGTGCGCGAAGGGGCGGTAAGGGCGTGACAGTGTCCGCTGGGTGCGATACCCTAGTGCGAGGTCAGAGGTACGGGAGGGGGCTCACTGATGGCTCGTTGTGGGTTTTGATAAGCAGCGAGTCCGACGAACGCTGCGTCGGCTGTGCTTCGGAGGCCCCGCATTTCTGGCTCGATGATGGAGCTGGGACGTTGCGCGAAGCCGGGCCTCTCCAGTGGTCAGGGAGGCCGAACCACAACTGGCTGCGAGGCGCCCTGGCGTTGGCCGGCAGCATATAGCTGCTTTCAGCTGGCCTCGCGCAGGAGCCATGGTGGGAAAGGCAGCGTGGCTTCTTCGGCGACGGCCGAGAGCAGAGCACAGCCAGACGGTCTGACGTCAGTGGGTCAATGACCCCCCAGCACCTCCAGCGTCCGCATCGATGGGGGGGAAGCCGTCACGCACTCTTCGCGGGCTCGCACTGAAGCGTCACGCACTTACACACGCACGGAAGCACGCACACACACTGCCGACAGCTGCGCGAGCGTAGGCGCAAAGCGTCCTTCGTCTCTCTCTCCCTGCAAGCACCGACACACAAGGTCACACACAGCTCCCTTCGCGGTAGACGAAACGAACACGGAAGAAAAAAAAGTAAAAACAGAGCAAAACGACACTCAACATCTGGCGGAAAACATAAAACACAAATAACACTTAATATTAGACATAAGAAACATAAAATACACATGAACACTTCAAAAAAAAAAAGAAACACTGGCAGCAGACAGGGCGGGGTCAACTCCTTTACGAGAAAAGGCCGTAAAGAAGCTAACCTATACTGAGGCTAGACAGTAAACTGAGGGCCTTCGGTTGCGGAGAAGTCCGCCGTCCGGCGCGAAATCACCAAGGTGACCGCTTCCTCAGATTATACCGGTGCGGGGTCCGAATGCGGTCCGCCGCTCCGGGTGTGCCCCGTTGCCTGCGCGAAGTGCCGATGGGCTCTGGCGCGAGCTCGTCAGACCGTGATACAAAGGGTTTCAGGTCTGCGATATGGGCACGGCTGAGTTTTCCCAAAGGGGATCTTTCAGCGAGTACGCGCCACGGACGCTCACTGACAATCGGTTCATAAGACCGGGCGGCTTTCCAACCCTTGGCTCAACCGTTTGTCAGACGTGACAGGCACGGAATAGCGATAAAAGCCACGCTTCGTGCCGGGCCAGGTCACAACATGGCTCAGTTTTGCAAAACCCTTCGAGCCACTCAGGTGACCGGCCATGGGTTCGTCGTGAGAGGATCGCAACAGTGCGGCTCTCAGACTTTTGGGCATAACCACTTTAAACGGGTCGATGGACTCGTCGTCAGTGGCTATATAGTTCAGCAGGAGCCCGTCATGGTCCAGCAAAATGAATCCGCCGGGGGAGTCGGCGACACACGCTGTATCAGTCCCCTAATCGCGCCCGCCGCAGAACAAGCAGCGTAACGGCGCTCCACGCCTCTCAAGACGGTTTAACGGCGCCCGCCGCAAAGCAAGCAGCGTATACGGCGCTCTGTCCCTCCGAGACTCGAAACGGATCACTTTGCTGAGCCTTCAGTAGCTCTTCGCTGCTGAAAGCGATTCCCATTCTCCCAAATGGGGGAGTCGGGTATCGCGCCCACTCAGGACCGCAGCAACCGCCGCGTGCACGGCGTCACGGGTTCGCTCTCGGCACGGTGGCCTTCGGAAAGTTCCCCCGCTCGGCCGCTACGCAGTGCGCCGCTTACCTGGATAGCAGCCAAGGTCGTCCTCATGGGGACTCCCCCTTTCCGCCGCTGTTTCGCCCCCGACACTTGCATGTGCTAAGGCACCGCAAGCGGCCGTCGCACCGAAATCCAGGCTCTCGGCAGACAACAGGGGGCACGAGATAGCGCGTCAGCTACCACGTAGGAGTGTATTCACCACAAAAAGGGGTGATGACACAGGCGAGCGCCGAAGGGCGCCCGTCGACAGAGGCGGTGGCCTCTTTGTGCAACGCGGCATGCCACGAAGCAGACATGTTGCGACGAGCCCGAATCGCGCAGGCGAACTGACTCGCTAAGAGCAGACAAAAGCTAGAGCTTTTGATACCGCGTTGGGCGCCAGTGTGGTGTACACGTATCCCGAAGGAGTACGGCCACCAGCGTGGGTCCGGTCTTAGCGAGCCGCAGGGCACGCGTTAACCGTCGCCGTGGCGGGAAACACGATACTGCTCAAGTCGCAACACTTTATTGTGGCAACACCAAACGCAGTACAGCCCGTTGCAAAAAGGCGCGGCGGGAAAGCAAGTAGGCTTATCCACGCCACGGGCACAAAGTACTACACAGGGTGCCACGAGCACGTCTCCGCGGTAAAGGTGATCCACGGAGACACCGGAACAAAGGCCCGGTTGCTCGAGCGAGGGCAAAGGCGCTCGCATTGGCTTCGAAGGGAGACGGGTCGGCGTAGCGAGGCCACGCACTAGGACACCGTACCGCCCTTCGGCCGTGAGTACGCAGTGGGGCAACAAAAGGTGAGCATTCGCCTCGGGCGCGAGGCGCCGTCAGCGAAGTCCGACGAGCCCCTGTGCGACGGGAGACGACGGACGGAAAAGATCGCGTGGCTCACCGTTTGCTGTCCCGGAGAGTACTGACCGCTCCCGACGCAGCGCGCGAAAACCTCTCAGGGGTCCCCGCGCGCAGCGCCACATCCGCTTCCGGGTGAGGGAGTTAAACGTCACTCCGCCCTTCCCAGCGCGGCAGACAGCAAGGAGGGCAGACATGTCGGGACATGAGAATGGCAGAAAAGGCGGCAAAGCCCGCGCAAAGGCAGCGGGCTAGCCTCAATTCCCACAAACGAACCCAGATATAATGAAGTATCATTTACAACAATGTCGCTGATAAGCTGTCTTGCAATATACAGTGTTAAAAACACACCTTTATAACGAGTTTTTGGTTATAACGAACCAATTTTTTGAGTAAGAGGTCTTGTTTAACATGTGCAGTGTTTGAACTAAGTTGTGCTCTGCTTTCCTTTTATAGGGCCAACTTGACTCCACATGGTGGGGACTGGCCTGAAAGCCTCAAGTAAGATCTTTGTTCTGGTTGTTTGTGCTAGTTGTGCAAGCTTTGTGCCAAAGCATGACAGTTCTGATAGAGCATAAGGAAATTGCAGGTGACTCGGGAAGTGCCTAGTTCATCTTTGCAGTAGGTTTTTATATATATGTATATATATATATGTGCCTAAACTGTCTTTTTTTCTATCTTGCATGCGTTGGCTTGAGTAATTTCCGCACGCTCTCTGCTTCCAGGTGACGAGAGACCTATCGGCTTAGTTTAGCATTACTGATTGCAAGTCGGGAGCAGTAAGTTATTTAAAAAAAAAAGCCACAGGAGAACCAAAATACTTTTGTTTAGTGACACAAAAAAAAAAAGACTGCAAAGGGTATTTATGGTTGCGCTCCAACAGAGCTGTGGCTTACGGCAGTGTTGCCATTTTATTGCCACAGGCGGTATGCCATGCGTGCGTTTGGCAAGTGCAAGTCTGAGCTGGACCGGGACCAGGTGGAGATTGTGCTCAAAGGAAAGCTGACCAAGATGTACCGCGACGGTGCCATGTGGTCTATCGACTGGGACAAGGAGCCGCTGCCCAGGTGGGTTCTATCTGCCCCCCCCCCTCACAGAAGCAATAGGCAGGCGGGAACGGGCCTAGGAGGGGAGAGAGCAAGCCAAGGTGGTTGTAGGGGATTGGCAAAGTCGTAAAGAACGGAAGAGATCCAAGGGGTGAGAAAGAGCCCGCTGTCGGTCAGCGGGGCTGAAGCAGGTGCATGTAGGGGATGCCTCTATCCGCGGGTGGGGGGGGGGTTCAAATGTTAATGACTGAAGATGGAGGTGCGTTTATCATGCGAGGGCATTCATTACATTATGTGAGTGTGTTCATTACGCGAATAAATACGGTATATGTATATTTTAATTAAAACAAGGCCCATGGAAAAGAGTTTTTTTTTCATCAAAGGAAGTGGCAACAACATTGAATTGTAGCAGGATTTGACTTCAGTACAGTCCTAGTGGTAGCCAGTAAAATATGTCTATTTCAAAATTTACTATACTTGGAGCATATAAGTCAGTGTAACAAGCTTTTAAATTTAAAATAAATTGAGCAAAAAACAGTATCGATGTGAGAGTAATGCTTCATTAAGGGGGGAGGCTACCCTGGAGACCGAACTTTTTTATTTTTTAAGATATCTGGATGAAACTTTCAGGGGTTGTTCACTACAATAAAACTAGCACAACTGCTAAGTTTCACTAAGTTGTGTTTCTTAGTTCCAGAGTTATTGAGGTTTAACTGGGTGCTTCACATGGGTGCCTGAGGAAGAGTCGTGAGAAATCCCAGGACATAGTAGAAAGCTGAAATTCATTGTGGTCATTCCTTGATAGCTATCTTAGGGCGCTACAAAGCCGTTTTTTTTAATTCCCCCCCCCCCCAAAATTTTCACGCAACATTGAATTTGATGTAACCAGTAATGACCAGATTCATCAAAAATTAATTGTTTATTATAAATTAACAGCACCAATTTTCAAAAAAAAGGAGCTTGTTACGCCCTTGCAAGGTCATTCAGGAACAGAATAAAAAAAACGGCACACAAATCTGATGAACGGTTTTCGAGTTCTTGCTTTCTTCAGCACCACAACTAGCAAAAAAATCCGTTCTGAGAAAACAGGCCGAGAAAGTTCAAAACACGTGTTTTCTTCAAAAAGCTCCAGCATAGTAGCTAGAAGTGTCCTGGCGCACTCTTTTCTTCTTTTGCCTGGCCTCCATCTTCTCTTGGTGTCTTTTAGAATTCTTTTTTAGGCGTAAAGCGTCTTTTTCACGAGCTCGCTGGATGGCCAGATGACCTGGTTGAAGTCCAATGGAGTCCGATATCACTTGGGTTGCTTTGCAGCAGCCGGCATTGTAGCGCAGCACTGCTTCATGCAATGCTGTTTCTACCGCGATCAAGGATGAGTGTTGTTCCTTCGGCATCAGAGACCACAGAATGGAGTGGAATGATTCTGATGCATTTTGCGTCTTCGCTCCCAGGCAGCGCTGAAGAAGCGGCTTTTGTGACAGTCTTTCGTAGATGGGCAGCATAGCTGCAGCGACATAGTCCGGTAGGCTGTGTTTATGTTTTGGCTGTGGCTCACGCTTTGCCTCTGCAGCTCTATGGCGGCACCACGATTGAGCCCCCTCTGGGCAAAGTTCATGGTGAGGGTCCTGGTCAGTCGATGTGACGTGGTGATATGTTGCCATCACTGCACGCTGCATGGCTGTTAGGTCAGTTGAATTGTTTCTCAGGGCCCAACCATAATATCCTGTCAGCTTTTCAGTGAGGGCTTTAGTCAGTTTCCCCTTCCCACTCAGTGGCTTATCACTTTTCTGCACAATGTTTCGAAGAGCACTTCCAATCCTTTTCTGAACATGGTTCAGACATTCTTCTTTTACAATTGGCACTAGCCCGTACACATTCTCTTCTGTGAGGGCAGCGAAGGTACGGCTGTCTCCGTCGGACACAAGAGTGGTGTACCGCGGGCCATGCTTGGATACAGACCGCCCAAAGAGAGTCAAGCCTGCCTCCACTTCCATGCTTCCCGATTTTGCGTCTGTGTTTTTCTGGCAAATGTGGTGCTTCTGCCAGCTTTCGTATGCTGCATCTCCAGGTTTGGGCCCTGTTTCACATCCAAGGCAGTGGTTTGAAAGCAGTGGTTTGAAAGAACTACAGCATCCAAGATGAGACCTGTAAAGAAGTCAATTACCGATCCCACTCCGATGTGTGATGTGTGACCCCGCTTATGCCATGTGCCATCGTACACTACGGTGATGGCCTTGCAGAAGCTGGGGTCCATTTCTTTATATGTTTTGATCACTGCTGTGGCAGAATCAGCATAAAACTTCTCCAAAGCGGTGGCCTCTGGCTTCCTGAACGTCTCTTTCAAGTGCTTTTGAAACGTCTTGTGGTGAAGACCTCTGTAAGAAACGTTCATGGCAGCCCAAAAGTCATTTTGCCCCTTGCCTATTTGCTTTATAGCCATTATGGCGCGGACATTTACATCGAAGGCCAGCGTGTCCTTTTTGCGGGGTGATGTCCATAATTTATTGACGGTGCCACAAGAGGCGCACACGACTTCAAGTCTTGTTGCAAGTCCAAGCTTGGTGCTCTCTCGGACAGTCATAGCACCTTTCAAACATTCTTTGCACACTGTGCGGCTGAGCACGGCGTTAAAGATGTTCATTTGAACGAGCGAAAAATGTTCGCCCTCACTTGTCACTGCAGGTGCAAGAGCCGGCTGCATCAGTTGAAATTTCTTCTGCGTCGCCGGTGTAGACTCGAGTTCAGCGCGAACGGCGTCACGACGTTTCGGATTCGCATCGATTTCTTCCTTCGTTAGGAAACGCGTCCGCAGATGAAGCGACGGTCCACTCACGTTCGATGGTGGCACCGATTCAGACGAAGTGCTGGGTCCGGCGATATCAGAAGCACTCGGTGTCACACTGGATGGCATCGATTCGGAGCACGTGTCGAGCCCGGCGATCTCGGAAACACTCGGTGCATTTGCGGCTCCAGCCACACTCGATGTGTCGGATTCTCGACTGGCGACAGCCGACAACACAGTTCTGTCGCTGCAAGCGTCTACGCAGTCGGCACCCGCAGCAGAATAGCGGAATTTTGATGATCGTACAAGCCGCATAGCGCGCCTCCGCGCACAGGACTTCCGCACTGACTTCGGCTTCGTTGCCGGCATCGCCCGCAACAACAAAGACGAAAGGCACAGAACTAGTGCAAAAAGAAAAAAAACGAGAGAAAATGATCGAAAAGATAGCACAAGGCGAAGAGCGGCTCGTAAGCAGACGTCTGTCGAGGCGGACGGAGCAGAGAGCAACAACGAAGCGAGCGCGCTGGACGCGCCATCGAGAGGAGCGACCGCCCCCGCTGCTGCACAGCAGCCAATGGCGGGCACGCTTTCTCCCGCAAGATATGAATGCGCTGCTCTAGCCAATCAGCGCTTCGCATCGCATCGCGGGAAAACGCCAATAGCGTCTCAACTGTGCTGCCGCCATTTTGCAAGGCGGCGAACGAGAGAGAAAGAATTCACGGTCAAAACAACACCAAGATGGCGCGGGACGACCGCATGGTCCGGGAATGACGCGCGCGCGAAGTTTGGTTTGATTTCGGGATTTGCGCCTGTTTTGGACGCCGCGGCGGCCTCGAAAATAGTATTTTTTTTTTGCACTTTGCGGTTGAATTAGGTGCTGATAATTACAGAATAGATAGTTTATGAGACATACAACCCAAAAATGTGGTTTTCAAGGGCCGCGTCCCCCCTTAAAACCTCGAAGTGGGGGGCTTTGCTGCAGGGCATGTTTCTCATGAACACGTGTTTCGACTGTTTAGCATCACTTCACTGCAGTGAAACCACTTTTACATCAAACTACGATTCCTGGACAGGTGCTTGCACGGCATAGCACCCATCCATTGCAGCGAAACCACCTTTACAGAGCATTACGTGCGGTATAATACACACTTATTCGTTGGAATATTCGAACATGCCGCCGCCAAGAATTTCAGTTCTTGTAACGTGTGATGAGTGGCATGATCAATACGGGAGACGGCAGGAGAGTGCGCGCTCGCTAATACCGTAATTACTCGAATCTAACGCGCACCTTTTTTCCGGTTAAGCGAGTTCATAAATCGCATGCGCGTTATAATCGAGTACGAAAAAAAAAATGAATACGGTCGTTCTATTGCCATCGGCATCCCGAAATGGCCGCCCCCTACGCGCGTCGGCCATTTCTGCCTATGTGTTTCCCATGTGCGGCACTTCGTACGTGTGCTGAGGAGTTCGTCATCTTAGTGCGCATTAGCATCGACGGCATAGAAGGGCCGACTCCAAAAACTCGACGAGTGCACCACGGTGCCGCTTTTAAAAGAAAAGTCATCGCGTGTGCCGAAACAGATGTAAATCAGGCTGCATCGCGGTTGTTCGGAGTTCCCGAAACGTGCGTGCGGGACTGGCGGAAACAAAAGCAGAAGATTGTCGACAGCAAAGCTTCACGCAAAGGCTTCAGTGGACCACAGCAAGGTCGGTTTCCGCAAATTAAAGAGCTGCTCGGCGAGTATGTGCTTGAGCAGCGAGCGGCACGGCGGCCCGTGACGACAGAACTGCTCCAAGTGCGGGCTATGCAGTTAGCCTTAGAAAAGAAAAAGGGCTAATGTGGAGCCAGTTTAAAGCGAGCAGGTGCTGGCTAACTAACTTTATGAAGACGAAAGGCTTTTTCCTTCGAAGGCGACCGGGCATATGCGAAAAGTTCTGCGGAGGAGTACGATGAAAAGCTTCAGTTTACAGAGGTTCGTCCTAAACTTGCGGCACAACGGCTACCTGCTTGGGCAAATCGGGAATGTTGATCAGACGCCTCTTTACTTCGACATGCCTGGCACCACAACTGTTGAGAAGGGGGCGAAGCAAGTTCGCGTACTGACATCGGTCCACGGTAAAACTACAGTGACGGCAATGCTCTGTTACACGTCAGATGGGCACAAGCTTCGCCGTACCTCATATTTAAATGGAAGACGCTCCCGAAAGGAGTCGTTTTTTCGAGTGGTGTGGTCGTGCGGGCCAGCGAGAAAAATTGGTGCGCGTTGCAATCGATGTCTTTCTTTTTTTTTTTTTTTCGTCGTGGAAATCGGGTGCGCGTTACAATCGAGGGCGCGATAGAATCGAGTAAATACTGTAAGTTTCCTGCTCTTGAAGAAAGCCATCAATTGTGTGCGAACGCTTGGGTCTTCCAGTATCGCCATGTCATGGGACCTAGTTTCTCCCGAGCATTGTTGAGAAAAGCTACATGAAAATGGGTCAATCGAACGCACTTGACGGAACGGAGAACAATGCGTTTTGGGACAGCGGTGACAGCGATCGCGACGTTGATTCCCCACCTCCCGATCTGCAATTCTGACTAGACCCATGACTGGACATGACTAGTTGAAGTATGCAACAATCCTGTTTAATAAAGAAGTGCACTTCGTTTGTGCTCCGGTCTATTTTCTCTTTTCTAATGCTTATGTTGCACGCATTAAAGCTATTGCACATTATTACGAATGCATTCATGAAATCCTTGCGTAATTTGTGCACACCCTTTTCAGAGCCCCAAAATAGCAAAAGAAACTGCACAAATTATGAGAGTGAAGACTGCACATTTGGTAGGGGTTGGCCAAGCTGCGCATTAGGGCAAGACACGCTGGGCTAAAAATTTCAAAGGGGCGTCATGGGTGTTGTTCAGTTCACCTCCTTTTTTTTGCTGCTAATCACTTTTATTTTCATGTGTTTTGTGCATTTACCCCAGGAAAGCTGTGTAGTATACGTCGGGCAGTGGTCTCTTGGCCAAGGACTATGCTCGAGTGCAGTGCGAAGTATTGCAGTAGATGTGGGCCACTTATGCAGCCTCTCAACAGATACCTTGTGTCACGTTTTCACAAATCGAGTCACTAAAGGTGTGTCAGATGGGTAAAACATTGTCATAGCGTGTGAACTTTATATATATATATATATATATATATATATATATATATGTGTGTGTGTGTATAAGTAATGCCTATAAATTTTTCTAGGCATAATTGTTAAGGGCGTGGAATGTTTGCAACAGTGCAGTATGTCAAATATCCTGCCCCAAGACAAGTTTCTTTGCAAGAGAACTGTACTTAGTATAAATCATTGCATATTCTTGCAGCATCCACAGTGAGCGTTTGCAACAGGAGCAGCAGAAGGCCGGGCCGGGAGCAGGGATCGGCACTTCGGGCCTAGATGGGGCAAATAATAAAGGCGGCAGTGCGGGGATCGGCCTGCCACCACTGGGTGGCGGTGCGGCCTCCTCTAAGTTGTCGAACCTGTCGTCCAAGGCCGGGGTGGGCTTTGGCCGGCGGCTCGGCGGTTTGATGGCTGGGCGGCTGGGGCCCCAGACGACGCCTACGAGCGGCGCTGGCAGGCTCGCTTCGTCGGCCTCTTCCGCCGGCGGGGGAAGCGGCGGCGACTCTCCGCCCGGTTTTATTCCACTGAAGAGTGGCGGCAGTCGCCGGGGCGGTGACTGGGGTCGAGGTTCTTCGTCGCGCAGGTCTCCGCGATCTCGGTCTCGTTCACGCTCCAGGTCCAGGTCGTGGTCACCACGGCCACGCAGCCCGGCCCCGACCCACGTAACTCCGAGGGATCGTCGGAAGAAGAGGCGTTCGAGGTAAATTTCGGCTTGCTTTCGCTTGACTGCAGGGGGCAGCCAATTGCACATATTGTGCTGTATTTTCACCGGTGTTTCCTAGTTCATCGTCGCAAAAAGCATAACAATTGCAATAGTTAAGCTGAGCTGCTCCAGTTGTAAAGATTTTGATGCTAACATGTGCTTTAGTGGGGAAAAAGGCCGAGTGGACAGCATGCTTTTCCACCTTTCAATTGAATTCTCACATAAGCCACCATAATCTCTTGTGGTCTCTAAGTATGTGAGAGACCCCAAAAAAATGTTTCATCGTGCCCCAAGCATGCTGCTTCTATTTGCCAGACTGTGTGTTCTGGCACAGTCATGCACACAGTAACTACAATTCTTAATCACGTTTTTTTTTTTTTTGAAAGTTGGATTTTTTTTTTTTTTCAAATGTTAGTGCATTAAACCTGCCGTTAAAAGCCTTTTTTCATATGCTTTCTACTCTGGCTAGATGGGCTGCGTGGTATGCAAAATATCTATTGAAAAACTCGCCAATTGGAGATTCTGTGTTTAGTGTATTGTGAGCTGATAAAAATGCGTACTTCTCCCGCATATGTCATTGACAATAGTACTTCAATCTGTGTGCTCCCTCTGGTGTTGCAGCAGCTCCGTGGAGTCCAGCCCGAGCCCAGAGGTAACTCGCACGTCCAAAAAGGCTCTCAACTCTAGCGTCTCTTCCTATACTCACGGGGGCAACAACAGCAATGCCAATGGTGGCAAAAAGAAGTCTGGCCAGGGCAACCGGAAGGCCAACAAGAAACAGAAGAAGCTGCTGCAGCAGCAACAAATGTGAGTCTCTTTAGCAGTGTTCCGCGCGAGAGCAAGTGCTTCTTCTTTAGAATAAACTCAAACCTCGATATAATCAAGTATTGGTCATACAGTTAAGGGGGAAGGCGCAGCCTTTGAAAATGGAAAATAGCAAAAAAGTCGATTTTTGGGAAACCACTTATTCGGGCAGTACGTGTCATAAACTTCCTTTTTTTTTTGTAAATATCATCTAGCTAATTGCAAAACTGTTTGCAATAAAGTTTACAAGCCGCCGCAGCCCTCGAGTGACACGGAAGCGCTCAAAATAGCCCACCTTGGCGCGATCGTAGTTTCTCGACTGCTTGACGGAGCTCCGCCATTTTAGTGTTTTGTTTGTGAATTCTTGCACTTTCTTTTCCTGCCACCTGCGGCGGCAGCGCAGGAGAGGAGCAAGGTGCTCATAATTTGAGGGTTGTTGAGAAAAAATTTGCCGCGGCAGGCACATACCGCCGGGATTAAACGATACGCGCGCTACTCAAGGACGAGAGGGGCCCCATGACAGCGATTGGCTGCTGCGCGCAATGACGCAGTACTCTGTCGTCTGCTGCTCCTCCGTCCCCGGCGTTCCGCTCGCTATCGTCTTATAAGCTTGTGCGAATAGTGAATTTTAGGTTCGAAGCGAATAGCGATTTTGATCGAACAATTTCTAATCGAATTCGAATGGGATGTATGACATACAAAAAAAAGAATATTCATCATGACCTAACTAACCTGCTTTATGCAAATGCCTTTTTTTTTTGTTGTTGTTCAAAGGAAGTTGAAACAACCTTGAGTAGTAGTTTTTGTAGGATGCAAGTGATAACCTCTAAGATACTTAGTGTCTTAAAATAATTATACTTGGAGCATATAAGCAGTCATAACAAGCCTAATAAAATGAATTGATTTGAGGGCAACATGTTCCTTTAAAGGGGCCCTGCAACACTTTTTCCAAGCAAGTAAATATGCTTATTGCCGCACTAATTTACTGCTGCAAAGTTTCAGTATGAGCAGAGTGCCAAAAGTTTGTCGCGCGCTGCAAATTCATTCTCTCTTCTTGTCCCGACGAAATAGCTGGAAGTTAAACAGGTCGGAATGTCATGGCAAAAGAAAATATGTCACATGCACCTTGTGACCTTGAGCACTTTTTTTTTTAATGTGCGGATTTTTAGTGCGATGTGTACTTACAATTTGAGTGTAAAAAGCCTGGTGGGAAAAAGTTGGCACAGTGCCTTGATTACGTAAAACCTGGTCAGGGAATGTCCGACAAGAAGCTAAGATAAATTTGTTTGTATATTTTTAATTTAAAATACCTGAAGGACCCTGTACACTGGGTTTAATACGAGGAGGGGGAGAAACAAACAAGTTAGATTATATTCGCAAAGTGTGATTCAACGGTATTCTTGAAATTAGCACGGTTGATGTACAGGGCAATGTCTGGGGTAAGATTGTTCCAATCGATAGCAGTCTTCACACAAAGAATGATTGCAGATGCGTGGCAGTGCGGGTATGGGGAGGGTATACGGCTTTATCATGGCTAGTGCATTGAGAGATGCGATGAGCTCGAGTTGATGAGAGAACAGTTTTGATGAGAGAACACAACACAGCTTTGAAATGCTGCTTTCAGTAACTCGCAAACCGTCTGACTTGAACCTCTTCCTCTTGTTGTTCTTCCCACAGGATTCAGTTTCAGGTGGAGGAGGACATGGCGACAACGGAGAAGCTTCAGAAGCGTGCGGCGCGCTTTCAGTCAGAGATCTCTGCAGGCAGGAAGAAGCGGCCCTTTTCGCTGGTGCTCAGCATCAACGCTGGACCCAGCCTGGGGCCTTCCTCTGGCGACGGGGACGCCGACCTGGACTGGGAGTCGTTCCCCGTCGTGGGCACCTGCCAGGAACTCGAGAAGCAGTACCTCAGGCTAACCTCTGTGAGTGTCTTTTACTGCATCCTCTTCTGTAGAGGCTGACAGACTTTTTGCGTGCTAATTGATGGTTGCACAAATGTTTTAGTTCCGTACTAAAAATATCAGTTCACTTGTGTGACTGGGATCATTTTAACCACATAACAGCTAGAAAACATGTCATTTGGAGTGGTATTAGTAGTATCTTGATTTTGTGTCTTAGAATACAAGAAGGAACTTCGGCAAAAGGTGTTTCATATAGGTTATACCTGCAGTTGTAGCTTTAGGCCTAGTGCTGCGCTGTTTCGGCGTCAGAACACATGTTCAGTTCTTCGCCACGGTTGGCGCGTATCAATAGAGATAAAATGGATGAAGCTTATGTTCAAGTACACACAAGAAAACCCGGAGATGTTGTTATTGCACTGTCGCTCATATTGCATGCCTCATCGTATTTTAATCTTAACATGTAAGACAACAGAATTTATGATCACCTGGTGCTGTTGCATTGTAAGCCTCGGTGAGCACTGATAAATTCATAACTCCGCAATTTCGGCATATTGCTTGTTACGCAGTTGGTTCTTGTTCGTGTCTTCTCTATTCGTCTTGCTTGTCAATCAAATGGATAGACATTTTTCAATGCTCGCTTTCACTGCCGTTCAGGCTCCCGACCCATCGACCATCCGTCCAGTGGAGGTCCTCCGGGAGTCGCTGGACATGGTCAAGGAGCAGTGGCTGCGGAAGCAGGACTACCACTACGCCTGCGACCAACTCAAATCCATCCGGCAGGACCTGACTGTCCAGTGCGTGCGGGACCCCTTTACCGTGCAGGTCTACGAGACCCACGCCCGCATCGCACTCGAAAAGGTCAGCGAGAACTCGCTCATTTCGTGGGTCCTCGCAACCGTGCACACTAAAGTGGCTACATGGCCTCTCTTATAAATGCAGGGTGACCACGAGGAGTTCAATCAGTGCCAGACGCAGCTGAAGACCCTGTACCAGGATCTCCACTGTGGTAACCCGCTGGAGTTTCTCGGTTATCGCATCCTCTACAATGTCTTCGCCAGGAACACGTTAGGTGAGTGGTTCAGCTTGGAGTATTTCAGAAGTGGTATTTTTTTTAGGCCCCCTGTCACTGCTACGAAAGTGCTAGGTATTTACAAATTCACACCTTTTTCCTGAATCGCATGTGTCTCACTTCGGAAGATTGAAGAGTCTGGGTTGTAGGCCAGTCTGTGATTTGCGATTGCAAAACGTAACTGCAAAATGTGTGGTATACAGAATGAGAACACAGAGGTACTCAAAGCTTAGATGACTTATTTACTGTCATTTTTGGCCCTTTCTATGCTGACTACTCTGACCACTCTGACATAAAACAACGAACACTTATGTACAGACTACTCTGACCGGTCTTGTACAGACTACGTTGACTCTTGTACTGATTATTATCCACATGGACGTACCGGCTATCACATGTATTTACATGTGTAATGAATCCACTCGCAATAATGTACCCACCCCCGACCTTAGTCCTCAGGTGTTAGACTTGTTGTAAGCGATGTCTTTGTAGAGTAGTTCAAAGGAATAGCAGAACCTGTCTTCCTTCTTGAACAGAGCTGAAGACTATCCTGGCGCACCTGAGCTCATCGGAGAAGACGGATGAAGTGGTGAGGCATGCGTTAGCGGTGTGTCATGCGTGGAGCCTGGGTAACTATGCGCGGTTTTTCAAGCTGTATGAGCGACCGCCCAAGATGTCGGGCTACCTGATGGATTGGTTCGCGGTGCGGGAGCGCCGCAATGCGCTCAAGGCCATGGTCAAGGCGTGAGTACTCTCTCCTTCCCTCCCCCAACACCCTCAAGACTCCTTCTGGGACACCCTTGCAACCCTCTTGTTCCCTGTTTAGATGAGACCATTGGCGAATAGCCACAGCGCACCCGTGCCAAGCGAACACAGGCATAACTGGTAGCTTTCGACTGTGAACATCAATGAAAGATGGTAGTCTGCATACCCTCAAACTGCAAATGGTGATGAAAAAAATTACTAGTAGCATTGCTAGACCAGCTGTAACATTTAAACATACCATTGATGGAATGGAGTAACATGTTCATGTTTCAAACATTTTCCATCGTCTGAAAGAAATCGTGGAGACCCTTGTTAGGGGTTATTACAACACGGCCTTTTCTGTATTTCTAAACGAAGTTTAGATTAACATGCCCAGTACACGCGCTGGTCTGGTACTTCAGGGTGGGTTTATCTTGCATGGTACATATGTTGTGTCGGGTTGCTTGTTCATGTGGATGGTTGCCCAACTGTTTTACCTGCTGAGCGCTGCGGCAAGGGCTGTGGTAACGTGTGGGAAGTCTACGAATTACGCCCGTTGTGGGGTACGAGAAAGCATGTTGCACGAGAATTGGGCCATCTTATTAGCTGTGAGAGCATTTTGCTCAAACCTTGGGTGAGCTTTAGGAAAAACTTAATTGGAGCTAGACTCGTAAGACGAACTTGCATTCCACTTGTACACTGTCTCCAGTGAAGTTGATTTACAGGAGTCTACTGCTATTGCGTACAAAATGTTACGGTTGCATCAGTCAAGAGCATGTGGTTGTTGGGGATTGCTTGGAAAAGTGATCTGCATTAATGGGTGCTACCTCTTAGTGCCAGCAAAACAGCACAAAAGCATAATTTTTATGTGGGTTCTATTTTTTCATTTATTTGCTTTCCTCAACACCAAACAAAACTAGCAGAATGATTGCATTAGTAGCCCGCATTATAATTGGTGCTACTTCGGTGAGTGCACCGTACGAAGCCGTATTTTGCGAACCCACGAGCCCACCAACTCTACGTGGTTACTCTGAAACTGTTTTATATACTTGTTCATCAACTGAGGTGATGGAAATGGCATGCCCTCAAGTCACTCTAAAGCAAGTGCTCTTTTATAGCGCACTTTTGCAATGATTCAAGTTGAAGCTACATGTGCATGCGTTTAGTGTTAACGCCTAGGCTATTTGCCTTCTTGTTTTTGTTTGCATGGCCTGACCTCCTTTGGCGGCATTCTATAACACTTCGAAATAACGGAGGCATGTGTGATGTGTTCGTTAGCACACCTGTGAATGAACTACAAAATGCGACCTGTGCATTCTGTGTGCATGTGTAAAACTTGTCCATAACATCAACATTAAGAATTGTGCTGCTAGTTTTATCTGTGCTTTCTGAAATAAGGGGTTTCTTCCGTGCAGTGGTAAGTTTTTTATGTGAGCATTTTAAAATTGTTACAATTCATACTTGCCAGTCTCGGGGATAGGTTTTGGTCAGATATTTGTTGCAGGGAACCATTTCTTCAAAGAGATCACAAACTGCGGGTTGCCTTCAGAGTAGAAACAAATCCCCTATAATGTCATTACTTCGAATTGGCTCGGCAAAATTTAATCACAGCATCGCCATATCCATTGCTATGTTCAATACCTTATCTGTGCATAACTATTTACTCGTCAAGCTTCAATGCTTGCTGTAGTCGTGCACTGTTAGAGCACTTGACTCCCATGAACTGCACATTACATAACACTACGATGCAGAGGATTTGTCAGGTACATGGATGTAACAGTTGATTTTGTAGGTTTGCTTGGTCCGATTCACCCGGCGACTGCGGTAAGTATGAACCCCACCCCTTTCACAATTTGGAAGGAACAGTTTACTACATAATGCACAACCTAGTGCCATATAAGGCTTCTTAGTTCGCTTATTTATAAAGGACCCATTATGCAGACTCCACATAGTGAACCTGTGAAGCAAAGTATGTTGTACACCAAAATTGGCAGTCCTAATGCATCATCACCTAGATTGCCTGGCATGTTTTCGATGCTTGCCACTCACCCGTGTGGTCATCTTGGTTTTGGTTAGCTCGAGTCAATTTGCCCGTGTGCTCAGATTTGGGTGCACGTTAAAGAACCCCAGGTGGTCGAAATTTCCGGAGCCCTCCACTACGGCGTCTCTCTTAATCATATGATAGTTTTGGGACGTTAAACCCCACAAATCAATCAATAGCTCGAGTCAGTTGAAGTTACGCTTGACTAGTGGTTACTCCTGTTGTAGTGAGGTGAGACATGTGTAAGTGCAGCAGTAAATTTCAACTATACACTTCAACATTGATGCACGGAACCTGCAGGTAACAAATGATTGGCAATGATGCAGTAAAGATCTTGCTATAGTGTTAAAAATGTACATTTATAATGTATTTTTGGGTATAATGAAGCTCTATTTATGTCAACTGTAACTTTTTTGAAAGGTTTGCGTGTGTATTTTGATTGCAACTAACACGTTATTTTATGTTGTTTGGAAGTTTTTATGCAGTACTAGAGCACACGGCTAAAATAATGTGACATGTTCATCTCTAGCCAAGTTGTAGCATTACATTGTTGCTTCGATATGGGCACTGTTTTCATGAACACTCTTTCCGTAAAACCTGCATAACTTTGGTTTTGTTTCGTAGCTTCTCTACGTGGAGTCAGCTGGTTGGGGGAAGCTTTGCAGATTTATAAACTTAGGCACTTCTTCACTTGCACTTCTGTTCTGCTAACAGTCCTTGTCCTGTCTTGTTTTAGATACCGTCCGGTTTTGCCGGTAGAGTATATTGAACGCACGTTGGGCTTCAGCGACCGCGAGGACGTGCTCGCGTTCCTGGCCGAGCTAAACGTGACCCTGGCCGAGGACGGCGCCAGCGTCGACTGCAAAGAGTCCCTTGCAGCCGTGCTTGCCGCCTGAGCTGCCGACACTGCGGTTGCTGTGGCGACGGTGGTGGCTGCGCCCTTTTTTCTTTACCCTCGCTCTCAACACCCTTTCCCACTGCCAACCTTTTTTCACTCAGCCACCGCGTTTGCCGAGGGAAGGGGTAGTGTGTAAAAAAAGTCGTGTGCTTCTTTCCGGCAAGGCCCTGGGAGAGCAAGTTCACCCGAGTGAGCACACAGCGTTTCAGACTGTGAATAAGTGCATTTCGTCCTCCCTTTCGATGCCTACGCTTGCGGCAACCGTCGGCAACCCACGGGCCTGTCAGTCGGGGTGGGCCGGGCCGTTGGTGTGGTTTCCCAGATGCGAGAAGATGAGGAGGTGGTCTCTCCACCAGCAATGGACAGTTGTGTTTCTGCCATCTCGTTGGGGGGAGGAAAGATGGGTGTTTACTCCGAAGCAGTCGCAGGGAAGAAGCGCGCATTTCCTCGCCACCAGCCGCTAGTCGACGAGTTTCCGGTGCTTCTTTGATCGTGCTCTGGTGTTGTGCGCCCCATGAACTTTTTCTTTCCATTTGGGCCGCATCATCCGCCAGATGCAGTGTTTTCGTCTGGGGCCCTTCATTTGGGGAAGGGGCAAAATTGCAACTACGAGCTCACCTGCCGAGAAATGCCACTCCGCCCTGGGAGGGGCCTATAAAAATTCGACAGGAAGCATAGCGCCGGGTCTACCGCCCTTCACCAGTTTCTGGGTCAGGTCTGCTCCAGTCAGCGTTCAAGTCATCAACAACTGGTAATTGCTTTCGACCGCCGGGCCAGTCCTGGAATCGCGTGTATCATCTCTTCAGCAACAACGGGCTCCAGCAGATCACCAGGGATGTCCAGTACACAGCCAGCCAGAAATTTGCCCGCAGTCTTAGCTGCTGTCATTTTCCCAGGATTTCATTGGTCACCTTATTGTCCTTAGCCGTTCAAGTAATACTAGGCTGGCAGAGGCTGCTGGGAATTGTTGCCACGCCTTGTATGCCACGGTTCAACGCTCGTTATGTAAACCTAGTTGGAGTGGAAGCAGCTCTGCTCTTTTAGCTGGCCAAGACAAGAAAGCCGGTGTAGCTAGCTTTTGGTAAATTTCAGCTTGTCGTGCAGCCATTATATTTAGCCACACAGCTTTGCCAAGCATGTCGTCATTCTACCTGGCAAACACAGCTTCATTAAACTTCTCAAGTCGATGGCGCTTCCAGTATATTTTAGATCTGTCGGCAGTCAAGATCTTGAAGACCTTCACAATGTTCATTCTAACCTATGCAGTATAAGCACTGTTGCAAGCTGGAGCAATTGTGCCAGACACTGAGCACTCAGTTTCTCGAGGATCGGAAGGTGTTATTTCTTAAAAAGTTTCACAAGTCTCGGCAGGCTGTGAGGCACTGGCTGCCCGGCTTCTGCATATCCCCATAAGTCCAGTCAAGCACCAGGTTCTGCAAGCCAGCCGACAGTGTCGCCGAAACGCCGATTTGTCATCGAGCTGCTGCTGCTGCTCTTTGCACAGATTTTCCAGATGGAGTCCATTGGGCGACAAGATGCGGTGCCAGCAAGATCCAGCTGCATTCCGGGAATGAAGGTTACCTTAAAGGTAAAGCAAGTCTTGTGGGTACCTGCCCTGAGCGGTGCCAGAGTTGATGCAACGAAGATAAATCTTCAAAAGGTAACAAGTCTTCAGGCACCCAGGTGATGCGGAAGTGGGTGCCGAGGACATTTCCACGAAATGCCTGCCCAGTCTTTTGTGTTGGCCTGTCGTAGGTTGTTTGTGGTTGAAGTCTGCTCGTCAAGGACATTGAAGCAACCTATCGTTTCATTAATGAAACGTGCAATGTGTTCATTATGTACTTAATTTATGTAAAAGTGTAAGTAGCCAATTAAAAAGCAGCATATGTATATATGTGAATGTGTACATATGTAAATAATAAAGCTAAATTTGACTACCTTTCTCGTGGAGTCTATTCATTCAGGTACTGGGAAGAGAAGGGGGCATACGTGGGTGCATTGGCATTCTGGTTAAAGGAAGACTGAAGTGAAGCAAAGTGGTTTAGATGATTATGCTTTCAAAAGCTTTGTCATCATAGCACAGTTATTAGAAGGAAATGGTCAGTTTCTCAAGTAGGGCGATGCCCAAATGACGGTGCAAATTTGTTTTGCATTTTTGAGCAGTGATTTCTTGAAACAAAAATTACTTAGGCCCTAGCGGACACTCCGACTTCGCAGAGAAGTGTACTTGAATAGCTTTTTTTTTTGTTCAGTTGCCCCCCTTGGGAAGCTTTCTTTTGCTAACAGTTGCTCTGTTGGTATTGTAAAATTGTCAGAGGCACCGCTCTTGGGTGCCCGTTCTGGTTTAGCAGCGTAACGGATAAGATGGGATTTGAACCCGGGCCTCTCCGTGGCAGTTAGTATTGCTCCGCGGCCCCGCATGTGACCGAGACTCTCTTGCAGAAGGCCTTCTAGAGAACATGTATAATGTCTTGGGGCAGAAGAGTGAAATAACCTGTCGTCATACAATTCTAGTCGCCCCTGACGGTTTTTTTATGCTTCCCAGTCGGTCCAAAGCGTTCCACCATAATTCATCAGCCGCGACAATAGTTGTAGCGCGAGAACGGAATGACGACACAGAGGCTATCTTCATGTCATGCCAACTAGCCCAAGCTGCCACATTTCCAAGTTCATCAGCCGCGTGCAGTGTCAACGAAGTGCATAGGCCTTACAGATGTGTAGCAGTTGCCCTGCTTATTTGCAGGTAGACTAATAAGGGCGTAGTGGATGCCGTCCTATTTCACAGAAGTTGTGATTCATAGCATAATTAACCTTGGGGAATGTTAGTACTTCAGAGGGCGTCGTGAGTGATGTCCTACTTCACAGCAGTTGGGATTCATAGCATAATTAACTTTAAGGAATGTTCATACTTCAGGCACAGCGTTTCCCCATTAGCTGCGCACAGAATTTGCATGGGACGGCATCGTAATGCGCGAGTTTTTTTTTTTGTTTAATGTCTCTTTAAAGCGAGCCCATCATTTTCCTTTCCATCGTTCGCTACGTCGTCAATTTAAGCTGAACCCTCTGTAAGCCTCCAGGTTTCTGCTCCGTAGGTAAGTACCGGCAAGATGCAGCTGTTATATACCCACTTGAGGGATAGTGGCAATACATCAATCATGATTTGAAAATGCTTGCCAGATGTGCTCCACCTCATTGTTATTTTCTAGCGACTTCATTCTCGTGGTTCGGCTGCGCGGTTATTACCTGCCCTTTTACAACTTGAAGTGCACTATTACATATCTCCAAAGCGCTGTTCTCTTCAGAGGTGGTTGTACATTACTTTCGTTTTCTGCGGATTAATTTTAAAACCCACCTTTCTGCTCTCCTCGTCTAACTCCGTAATCTTGTATTTTTGTGTTGCAATTCGTCCCCCGAGTTTCTCAGCAATTCAATGTCATCGGCGAAGCGCATGTTACTAAGGTACTCCAATTCACACTTATCCCCAACTCTTCCCATTCTAGGCCTCTAACACCTCCTGTAAGCACGCGGTAAATAGCATTGGGGAGATTCTATCCCCCTTGCTTACACCCTTCTTTATTGGTATTCTATCGCTGTTTTAATGAAAATGGAAAAGGCCTTTGACCTGCAGTGGACGTAGTCAAAATGATGACTAGTGGCCCTCCACTCGTGCCGAGTACGCTAGACCTCTGACGACATTTCAAGTGAGTCCTTGTTGCCAAAGCTGCAGCTTCTCTACTAATGTACCGTGCCTTTGCCCAGGATAAAATAGAAGTTCATTGAAAGAGTTCTTTGAAATTTTACTGTTAAATTCGCAGATAATTGAAGTGGAATCCTTCATGCGCTTGCCAAGACGGGTGGATGGTCCTTGCTTAGCTGCATTTTTTTATACCTTGTTACAAGAAAGGTTTGCTCAGTGTGTCGCACATATTACAGTCTCGGTACTTTCTTTGGACCTTCATTTTTTGTTCATATCAATGCGGTAGTTTAGGGGAAGATAAAGGAGTGCGAAATCGCGGGGAAGGGGCCTGCGTCACTCGAGCAGTAGCTTAGAAGTGTGGCAGCTTGGTGTGTCTGTGTCGCGCTATAACTATCGTCTAGCAGTAGCTTCGAACATTTATTATGAGGTCGTGGTGGCTAGGTCCGGCTCACTCGCTGTATCTAGGCTATTAGTATACGCCAGAACACGGCGCTTTCAGTCAGTCAGTCAAAGAACTTTATTTGGTCCTGAGAAGACGAGAATGCCCCCGTCAGGGGGCACTGTCTGGGGGCCCCGCCCACGATGGCACCGGGAGGTTAAAGCTCTCGGCGACTTCGCGGGCTCTCTGGACAGCCCTTAGCTGCTGGTCCTTTGCGGAGCTGGTGATAAGCTGGAGCCAGTCTTCCTCAGTGGAGGGAGACCCTGAGCAAGTCGTGACACTGCCACAGCATGTGCTGGAGAGTGCACCTCAGATGACCACAGCGTGGACAGCGTGGGTCTATTCCGTCTACGAATTTTGACCAAATAAACGGACATGGATACGTGTTTGCTTCTAACATTCGCAGGGTGATTGCCTGTGGTCTGTTTAGGTGTGGGTGTGGAAGCGGAAACTTCCTACGCCCTAGCTGATAGTGCTTACAGACCTCGTTGAAAGTGAGAAGAGGGTCCCTTTGCCACTGCCCTCCCTCATCCTCCGAGTGCCCACTTCCGGCGCGGTGTGTAAGACCTCGCGCCTGGGAGTGTGCAAGCTCGTTGGCGTTTGGGATGGTTTCGTGGGCATCACTGCCCATATGACCAGGGAACCAAATTATATGCTTTTTGCCTGTCCAAGATGCAGCAGAGAGAACGTGCGTGGCTTCTTTGCACACCGAGCCTTAAGGGCTCTGGCCCTTGCTTTGCGTCTGCCGCAGTTGTATTGGGGGCGTATGTTTCTAGGTACCTGAGATACTGTATACCTTTCCCTGACTTCGATAGGGAGCGCGCAGTCCCTCTGCCTGGCAATGGGAGACCGTATACCAATATGCGCTAGTAACTGTCTGCCAGCCTCCGTGGAAGCCAGTCTTGCAACTTGGGCGACCTGTTGTGCCTACATTATTTCGCTGAAGGTGTTGTGGACACCTAGCGCCAATAGATGTTCTGTACTGGTACTCTGTGGGAGACCCAGTACCTTTTTTATGTTCTTGCGAATTATTGATTCTAATGGGGCTTCATTCCTCCTGCTCCACTTGTGGGCCAGGACGATGTAGTTGATGTGGCTCATTAGGAAGGCGTGAAAGAGTCTATGAAGGTTCTCCTCGGATAACCCCCCTCGTTTGTTGGCCACCCTCGTGATTAATTTTGTCATGGAATTGGCTTTGGCTGCGATGCGTTCTAACGTGTAGGCGTTACTGCCGTCCTCCTCCAGGAACATGCCGAGGATTCTAACTTTCTTTACGATCGGAATAATAGAGCCGTTCGTTGTGGTGATCAAGATATCAAGGGGAAACTTCCTTTCTTTGCACCGATTGTTGGCCGGTAAAGGAGCAGTTCCGATTTATTAGCCGACAAGCAGAGTCCTGCCTTGTGAAAGAAATCTTCGACTACTCTGATCGCTGTTTGCAATCGCTCTTCAATTTGCCCATCACTACCTCCCTCGCACCAGACGGTGAAGTTGTCAGAGTAGAAGGCGTGACCGAGACTTTCAATCTCGGCCAGACTGTGGGAAAGTGCTCTCAGTGATAAGTTAAATAGAAATGGGGATAGCACTGCCCTTTGTGGACTGCCTCTGGGTCCAAAATCAAACATCTTCGAGCCAAGAGATCCTAGGCGAATGGTAGCTTTTCTATTCTTAAGAAATGAGCTGATGTAGTTGTAAAAAATGTTCTCCTAGACCCGCTTCTTTAATCGAATGAAGTATGTGAGAGTGTTTGACCTTGTCGAAGGCCTTTTCCAGGTCAAGTGTCAGAACAGCTCTGGTGTCTCTGGAGACCCTGCCAATGATCTTGTGTTTTAAAAGCAACATTACATCCTGCGTTGACATGGACGGCCTGAATCCAATTAGATTAAATGGGAAGAGATTCCTTTCCTGAGCAAACTTAGTGGCCCGCTTGAGGATAACGTGCTCGGCGACCTTCCCTACACATGAAGTGAGAGATATCGGCCGGAGCGAGCCAAGCTCCAGGGGTTTCCCCGGCTTCGGAATGAGGATGATGGTCGCGTCGCGCCACTCTATTGGAACCTCGCCGGTCTCCCATACCTCGTTGATTTTATTCGTTAGAAGCTCGATATCCTCGTCAGGTAAATTCTTTAAGAGTTTGTTACTGATCCCATCGGGACCCGGAGCTGATCTGCCGTTGAGCTCATATAGAACCTCTCGTACCTGTGCGCACGTGAAGGGGGAACGAAGAGGGTCTGTTCCGTTCTCTGGCAAAGCAGGAGGGTAGTCATTGTGTGAGGCGGGTTCTCTGCAAAGATATCTCGAGGCGAGCTCATCGATAATTTGTGTCTCTGTCAGACCAGAGTTCTTTAGGTTGTGGATAAGTCTGCCAATTGTAAGCTGCTGATTGGTTTTGGATTGTTTATCTCCCAGTAGATGTTTGAGGAGGTTCCACTTCGCACCACTCCTCATTTGCCCGTCGACGGCATTGCATACTTCGTCCCATTGCTGTCGAGCTAGCGTTTCACTATGCTCATCTATCTGCCTATTAAGTTCAGCAATTTTTCGCGTAGGCATCGGTTTAGGTTCTGCGTTTTCCATTGAGCCTGCAGCGCGTTTTTAGCCTCCAGAAGGTGGGCTAATCGACTGTCCATGCGCTCTATCTCTCTTTCTGTCTTCACTTCCTTTGTGGAAGCAGCAACGTCTTCTTTGAGACGAGTGATTAATTCGTTTGACGAGTTGTATTCTCGTCTTGCTTTCTGATAGCTCTAAAAAGGTCCCAATCTGTGACGTGAAATTTTCTGAGCGGTGGGGACGAGATTCTTATCGT